ATAATAATAATACGGTCCTAATTTATATACATTAAAAAAATTGCTGTAACCGCAAATGCACTAAGCAAACCTCTAATAAGTATTTATTAGTAGTAATACAAAGTGTAAGTAAGACAATAGAAAAATAGCAATTGAATGTGATTTTCTTTCAGTATCAAAGTTCACTACACTAAAGCGTTTCTGCAAAAAAATTAAACGTAGGGTAACTGGGATATTAAGACTATCATCAGCGCCGAACACAATAATCTGCTAAAATCTCAGCTTCTTTGTCGTTAAACAAGGCGAGCACCGCTTTATATTATGTTTTGAATGACTGAATCCGCTTAGGGAATTTCTGCAACATGATAGTTGATATCCTCATCGTGTCCCCTTTTGTTTGTGTATTGTCTATAGAGAGATAGTCTGCACAGCACCCATGAACAGAACAATATCTTGATGTTCGTTGCTGCTGCCCGTTCATTATTTGAGGTCGAAATAGCTCTTTAGCTTACCCAAGAGTTTCGTCTAGTTATTTGTATTGAGCACAAGTGCAGCAGAAATTCTATTCTATATTTAAAAAACGTTACCACACACTAGGATTTTCTCCTGTATCGTGGAGGCAGTGTACAACCATATAATGCACAAGGACAAACATCCAGACCCGGAACAGTTATTTGTAGGCCATACAAATACTTGTTCCGTGCGAGATTCGAACCCGCGGCCCCCAGCGCTGCAACTCATTGCTAAGCCCCTGCGCCACGGGGCCGTCATATGGAAATACAGAAATATGGTCATGCAGTAATTTATTTGTGGAGCAATGCCTACTTTTTTTTCAATAAAATTCCAGAAAATGCTCAATGTTTGTTAACCAACAAGTTTAAATTAAACAAAAACTGTATAAAAAGATCATAATAATGGGAAATGAATATATTACAAAATACCCCTGGGATTAAGATGCTCGCTATTCTATTATAATTTTTAAAACTCGTATAAAACTCGACCTTTTCGTTTGTTGTATTCTATAAAATAAATAATTGTATAAAAGTTACTGCGCCACGGAGACGGTTCCGTGGGCCAGTGGTTCCTCTTTTGCGATGAGTTACGGCCCTAAGGTACACGGGTTCGAATTCCGCACAGAACAAGTATTTGTACGGCCTTCAAGTAGTTGTTTTACAGGTCTGGATGTTTGTCCTTGTGCAATTTATGTATATAAACTGTCTCCACGGTACAGGAGAAAATCCTAGCGTGAGGTTACCGTTTTTATAATAAAATAGGAAAAAAAAACTTGTAAAATTTAATGTTTGAAACGAAATCCTGCTGGGTTTCTTGCTAGATTTTATTTAAAGTATTTTACGAACCAGTAGTATATTAAAAGTTTACTTTCAATTGCTTTCCATAAGTATTATGTAGGTACTCCGTTAACTTTGTCAACGTGTAGTTTATACCAGGCATTAAGAGTGGAGTGCGATTGCCACAGTATCAACCTATGTTAGCCAGCACTTCAATTTACTTTACTTCCCCACAATCCGTCGTTCAGTTAGACTTGATTACTTCTTTGCATTTTATCCTTAAAACTATAATTCAACGAATGCTCACTGATATTATCTCCACAAATTTTCAACAATCGAAAGTGAAAAGAAACTACAAACAATAAGAAAGTGCAAAATACTCGTAATATGAATATAGGTTCACACTCAGATTATTTGTATGCGTATAATTATATTTCAGTAAAAAGGACTATGGTATATTTTTGTAAAATAACAAAAAATTAAAAAAAATCTTAATAATAATATCAATAAATCATTTTCTATCCTCTTTACGTTTAATATAGTAAACATACGATTTAAAAAAATGCAACCAAAAAGACTGGGTATATACTAGGGTAACTACTGTGTTACAGATCACTAGGCCCTTACCCTAACAATAAATATATATTAAAGGAGTCGATCACTATCGATATCAGAGACATTGTTAATGGCAATTTTAAATACTAATTTGCTACGTGGTGGGAAACGATGAAAAACTTCGGATGTGCACATCCGATTAACTATAAATATTTCAAGGAAATTTTAAATCTGGTAACATATTATATAATACATATAATCACACCTTTTTCCCTTAGGCGTAGGCAGAGATCACTTCTTTCCACTTGCTACGATCCTTGCATACTTGTTTCGCTTCGTCCACTTTCATTATTCCCTTCATACATGTTCTTCGGCTTAGGGTACTCTTGACCTGGCCTTTTTTCAAGACGTCCCTGATTTGGTCTAGAAACGTCAACCTAGGTCTACCCCTTCCAACACTTTCATTCACACTCGCCTTATACACTTTTTTCATCAATTGTTCTTCATTAATTCTCTCGACGTGGTCAAACCATCTCCGCAGGAACAAAAATCGAAAATATTATTCTCTTTTTAAAACACTGTCTGAAATGACACTAGGGCAGCGTCCAGCTGTGGGATTTCCCAGTGCTGGGTGCAGTACATATTTATGTAGGCTTACTTTACATTATTTTTTTGTATATTATTTAATCTTAATCGTCTTTTTTATTACCACGTGCTTGGAGGAGAAGTTTAACTTCTTGACGAAACCTGCACTTCTCAAGAATAAAATATTTTGAGGACATGTAGAATTCGCCAACATGCATAGCAGCGTGGCGGACGCTCCATCCAAAACCCTCTTAGAAATATGCGGAAGCCTGGGTCCAGCTGTGGTCGTATACGATGTGACTATATTTTTTACCTTTATATTTAACTAGCTGTGCCCCGCGGTTTCATCCGCGTCATCACGTGTCGGAGGTGCGCGACATGACCTAGTTCAAGCATTTTATAATTGCAATTAAATATTTTATTTGATAGCAATGTATGGAAAAAATGGCATAATTAATGGACTACTTTTATCTGTCGGCATATTATGTATGATGTAGAGCGTAGTTAAATTTTATCCACTTTCCTTCCCCCCACCCCCTCCCTACCCCCACCCCCACCCAACGTCTCAGAAAGTGTCCCGAATAATTTTTAATTTATTTTTAATTTAATTTTTAATTTATTTTAGCTATAATGATTGAACAAACCTCGCTCATAGAAGCTTTCAATACTGGGATCTCGCAGTTCTCACCGGGCGGCTAGTGTTTATGCGTCGTTCGCGCGCCCAACCAAATATTGAATTATTTTAATTTTACATTATCTCTTAAACTATGCGTCCAAATAACATGGTATAAAGAACAAAGTTTATCTTCATAAAATTGTCTTGATGATGAAGTAACTTTCGTTCGTAATATATATAACGTAACGTATATAAATACGCCATGCCAAATAATGACGATCATAAATCACTTTTTAGTTTTCAATATTTTTTTGTCACAAAATACCTAATTATGGCTTATGTATGAGATATAGACATATGATATCGCGGACTTTTTTTTAGACGGAGTAAAGATCTATATTTTTCTAGAACATTGTATTTACGTATCCCTAACGATAACACCAGCGTACGCGGATAAATCATTTCGGGAGTGCTTTTTCTTCTGACTTGCTTAACAAATATCCATATTTAAGGCTAGCTGAGTGATATAGTTTAATGCTAGATAGCCTATACTATTCCACATGGATTTGGCTGTAATATACAAAAATAATTTTTCAAATCGCACTGGTAGTTCCAGAGATTAGCGCGTTTAAACAAACAAAAGAACTCTTCCGCTTTATTATATTAAGTATAGATCTGTACCTTGGCTAGCTAGACTTCCCTGTATTATGAATTATAATGTATATATAATGTAAATTTTGGAAAACAAAGGCTAGTAATTTTCATTCGCGGTAGAGCTACGCTGGCTTCAGCACATATGGATTGACTCGACCGGGGCAAGGACCACGTTCTTAAATACTATAGTAATATATAATCTATTACCACAATTTTGCTGTGTTTCGAATGGTGAGTGTAGAAAACCAGATACCCTTTTTACTGGTAACGAGGTATTCCATATTAATCCTTAGTGGTGACAAGGTATCTGTATTCTAATTCTTAATCGTGGGTAGATGTAAGTATCTTAGTACGACAGCATTCGCTTAATCGCATACCATTAAGTGACCTTTTATCACCCTTACTTCTATAAAAAAATTGAAAAAGTAAGCCAAAAAAGGCTTATGTCACTCCAAATAGAGCACAAGGATCAAAAAAATATATTCAAATTATATCATAGTTATTTTGTTCATCTGTTTGGAATATAAGAAAAATAGTAATTAATTAGTTAATACAAAAGTACGAGTATTACGAGTAGATAACAAAGAAATAGTTCACACTGTCAAACAATTCCCTTCCATCTGCCTATTATGCAATAAAGCTGTTTGATTTGTTAATAGAGCTGAGTGGATCCTGCCACCACACTCATACTAACGACGCACTTCCTTCAGTGTCGCCATTACCCATGACATCCTGGTGCTCGCTTTGCAGTCTATTATAAGAAAAATGTAGTAAATAGTTGTTTATGCTACTACTTACCGCTGCCGGCATGATTAAGGATGTACCTACATATACGTAAACACTCATGCCCGCCAAACAATTATTTGCTTACATCCTTAATCATAATTAAGTAATGTTATCACATCAATAAGTACTTTGCCAATGCTACGTACTTTTAATTAATTATAAACATATTACTATTCTAGGGTTTTATTTTACTAATCTCCGCTTGGTATCCGAATACACTAACAAAACTCTAACGATGTTTACAACAAGTATCACGTTCGCCTCACAAGCATTGCATAGTTGCAATTAACAACTAAGCAATAGTTTTAGTGACATAAGAAACCCCTCATCTAGTATAATTTCAGCTATTTTTCATCGAAATATTATGTAAAGCCTTTTCGAATATTAATAGATATTATAACATTGTACCTATATTGTACTAAAAATAAATCGAAATTGTCATTTCGCTAAATATAGAGAACGTGTTCTCGAATGCGATGCGATAACAAACACAACATCGCAATAAGCTTAATGGAAATCAAGGTAAACAAATGCACCTGCACTCGTAGAATTTTCAGTGTTTCACTATGTGATATTCGAAACGTCCATCCAACTTGTTATACACCGCAACTTTCGCACCAGTTCGAGTTCAATTAATGTTAAATCAGACCGTAGACTGTTTATGAAGAGCGTATTATCGTGTGTGCTCCCGCTCGGTACCGGCTCCGAAGTATAAGCGACACGCGCACTACGTAGCGGACAATCAGTAACTGAACGTTTGGTTGAGTCGGACCAGTTATTATGCGCCCACTGTTGCCATCAATAACTTCGGCAACACGTGGGCCTCGGTACGTAGAGTTGCCGTGATATCACACCACACGCAGGATACAACGCTTATCGATGCATCGCCGGTAAAAGCTCATGATTCATTAAAATTAGGTTTTGCGAGTGACATCATCGTGTATGCGCTTAATGTAAACATGAGACGCCACGGGAGCTTCATAATCGGTAATTTAAAAATTCTTTCTGGCGAAATAATCAACTTGACGCAACTGTGTTATTACGAGAGTAATTCACAATGTGATAAATCTTTTCATTAGGAGACTTTAATTAAGACATTCTCGAGACAAATGAAACATAAATTATACACTGTTAATCGATGATTTCTTTTCTTAAAGGAATTTTGCAGTAAAAGTGTTTACTTACTTTTGTTTTTGAGCCGAGATAGAAGGGCCGTGGTAGTTCAGATGGTAGCAGTACGCAAGCAACCCGGGTTCGATCCCGGCCGGCACCAATGTCATTGTTCGCCAACACGCCTTGAAGCAGCGTGGCGGATATTTCCTTGCCCTAAAACCCTCTCAGAAATGAGGGGCAGCCTGTGCCCAGCAGTGGGACGTATATAAGCTACAACTTTAAATTTTGTTTTTATGACAAAAGGAAATGCTAGAAACCTTAATTTCAAGGAAAATTATCGTATAAATCGTACCTCTATGTGAAATGAATATCATTGCAAATTGTAAATGAAATAATTACGATATAGAACAGTATTTTTAAAACCAAAGCATAGACAGTACGTATTCATCCTAGAATGCGACAATTAACAAGTACTTGGAAGATTTGCTCATACTCACCGCACTGGCCAGGCGAATTGATTTTGAGGTGGGTTTGAGAACATCGAATTCAACCTTTTTTGGGTAGACTTTCCGCTATCAGTCAGATCTTCATCCGTCAATCATGGAGATGTTGACATACATCCCTTAATGTATACAGACACAATGAAAGTAAGCTTGTGCCATATGGTTTCTGCAAAATCTCTTAGAAGGTACCTAGACATTTTTGTTAATTAATTCGGTTTATAATTAAATTCCTAAGCATATAAAAAAACATTTTATTATAAACTAGCTGTTCCTCGCGACTTCGCCCGCGTGTAATTTAGGGTTTTAATTTTTTTGCGAGGAACCCTAATTATTTTTCTAAAATAAAAGCAGCCTAAGTTACTCCTTATGACATCAGCTATCTGCCAGAGAAAGCCCCGTCAAAATCGGTCCAGCCGGTTCGGAGATTAGCCGGAACAAACAGACAGACAGACAAAAATTTAAAAAAGTGTATTTTTGTCATAAGTACCGTTTATACTTTCATATGCATTTAGTAAAACGCTGTAATTTTGGCATTATAAACAGACACTTCAATTTTATTTATTTGTATAGATTAGCGACCCGCCCTAGCTTTACCTGGTTAGAATTTATGTGGCGTTATTTACTGTTACAGCCTATTTTTTTTTTAGTCGTTAATAGGATGGCGCTGCGGCCCATCTCCTGATTTGTTCGACACCTACGAGATATATGGGGATATTCTTACACCATTTATTTTATCTATGTTTCAATTTCTCAAAAAAATACTTCAAGATTTTCGGATAGAATATAGCTTAGATCACTCCTGGAATTTAAGTTTTCATTCATCACAATTTTTAGTTTCATCACAATCAATTCAGCCATTCTGAAATCCCAGACAGACAAATATTTTTAAAATGGTCATGTCTTAATGGCATACAAATAACTCCTTCAGCTCAATAAAATTTCGATATTACAGATAGAAACTTCAAATTTATTTATATGAATAGTTATAGATATAATATATAAAGACAAGAAGTTATTATTCAAAATATTTAAGCCGGATACAGTGCTATTACAAGTCAGAAGTTTTGTACGCAAAGCCGACTGTCAAAATATTTACCTCTATTGTATGAGAACAATTATAAGGAAACATACAAAGTCATCTATGCGTGCAAATATGGTGTTAATGTCGCTGCGGTTTAGTTATGCTAACATGAAGTTATAGCGAAAGATGTTGCACAAGATTTCCTGAAATTATACAACACAAATAATTAATATTTTAAAATTAAAGCCAGCATTACAAGAACACGCTTATTGCAAGAGGAATCGACATGGTAGAACCACGCTGCAGCTATATTATAGTTGTAGCACGAATGAGTCGGTTCGACCGGGGACCACACCCTCACAGAATACCAGCGTAAAAGAGCAACTTAATGTAGTGTTTCGCATGGTGAGAGTAAAGAATTGGAGATCATTTTTACTGAAAAGGCATTCCGTCTCAGTCTGCAGAGGTGACTACACATCTGCATTTTGATTGTTAATTGAGGTTAAATATAGATGTTTTAGGCTACAGCATCCACTTACCATCAGCTGGACTGTATGCACGTTTGTCACCCTTATTCCAGAAAGTAAAAATAGCTATTAAGTTTTATTTGTTTCAAATTGTAAAAGATCATTATTAAGAACGGCACTAAAATTTCAGCATTCTCCATACATGTTAATAAATATATCTGATCTCTTTTTTTTTTATAGATCTCTCTGCATACCGTCAATAGTAAACTTTTACTACCGCATACTACAGCCTAGTGCAGATTCGCGCGAATTTACATCGCGGTCCTAGTTTATTTTTTTCTTAATTTTATATGGATACAAAATTTACCCTTATACATAGGTTGTTAGTTTTCGGATCAGGTTATGTTATGATGACACTAGTGTCTTTGACACTGTATTCCAGGCTACCTTCGGTCTTATCGCTTAAGCGTTATTATATCTTGCTTGAGCACTGATAGGGGGCCAAAATGAGTAATATGATTTATTATTAGAGAGTACACTAAACTTACACACTGTAATATCTTCTTTTCTTATTTTTATTTCTTTGTTTTTTTTTAAACTTTACCCCCACACTAAGATTTTCTCCTGTATCGTGGAGGCAGTTTACAAACATAAATTGCACAAAGACGAACATCCAGACAATAGATATGAGATATGAATGACAAGCTCGTGGAAACTGTCCATGCGGTCGGAGCTAAGTTCAACAAGACCCGCCGCAGAAGAACACAAAAACTCTCCGATCACACTCTTAATCTCATGGCTGTTAGACGCGAGATGAAGCTGCATTCTTCAACAGATTTGACAGCATACAGACACCTGAACAGACAGATCTCCAAATGCATGCGGCGGGACTTACGCAACTTTAATACAGCTTGTATTGAAGAAGCGATCGAGCGGAACCAAGGCTCCAGTCTTTCCCAGAGATATGTCTGCCAGAAAGGGCCAACTGTCAAGGTTGAAGACCGAGTCTGGCAGCATCGTTTCCGGGGCACCTGATATTTTGAGTGAGATTGAGAGGTTCTATGGACAGCTGTACGCGTCATCGTTGGAGCCACACGCAAGTGTGAGTAACGATCCAAGAGCGAATCTTATCCGACACTATTCCGAAGATATCCCGGACGTCAGTCTGAGCGAGATTAGAATGGCTCTCCAGCATCTTAAAAACGGCAAGGCCCCAGGCGAGGATGGAATTACAGCGGAGCTTCTGAAAGCGGGTGGAATACCGGTACTGGAAGTCCTTCAGAGGCTCTTTAATTCCGTCCTCCATGGTGGCATTACACCGGAGGCATGGAGCAGAAGTGCGGTGGTCTTGTTCTGCAAGAACTACAGACCGATTTCCCTTCTGAGCCGCGTCTACGTGCTGTTTTCGAGAGTCATTACGAATCGTCTCGCACGCAAACTTGACGACTTCCAGCCTCCCGAACAAGCCGGCTTCCGAAAGGGCTTTAGCACTATAGACCACATATATACCCTTCGGCAAATTGTACTGAAGTCCGAAGAGTACAATTTGCCACTATGCCTGGCGTATGTGGACTATGAGAAAGCCTTTGATTCCATCGAAATTTGGGCGGTGCTGCTGTCCCTTCAGCGGTGCCAAGTTGACTGTTGGTATATCGAAGTGCTGAAGTGCTTGTACAGTAGGGCTACGATGGCTATCCGAGTACAGAACCAGAGTTCGAAACCTATCCAATTGCAGAGAGGTGTAAGACAGGGTGACGTTATATCCCCGAAACTATTCACCGCTGCATTGGAAGACGTTTTCAAGCTTCTGGACTGGAAAGGATACTCGTACGGTATTAACATCAATGGCGAGTACATCACTCACCTTCGATTTGCCGACGATATAGTCCTTATCGCAGAATCGCTGGAAGACCTAAGCACTAAGCTCGAAGTTGTTGACGAGTATGTTTACCTGGGACAAATAGTCCGACTAGGTAAGTCCAACTTCGACCGAGAGGTCAATCGACGGATTCAACTCGGCTGGGCAGCGTTCGGGAAGCTACGACACATCTTCTCGTCAGACATACCTCAAAACCTTAAAACGAAATTGTACAACCAGTGCGTGTTGCCAGTGATGACTTACGGATCTGAGACGTGGTCCTTCACTGCTGGCTTGATGAGGAAGCTCAAGGTCGCTCAGCGAGCTATGGAGAGGGCTATGCTCGGAGTTTCTCTGCGTGATAAACTTAGGAATGAGGATATCCGCAGTAGAACCAGAGTAACCGACATAGCCCAACGGATTAGTAAGCGGAAGTGGCAGTGGGCTGGCCATATAGCTCGAAGAACCGACAACCGATGGGGAAGAAAATTTCTTGAGTGGCAGCCTCGTACCGGTAGGCGATGTGTAGGGCGATCCCCCACGAGATGGAGTGACGACCTAGTAAGACATGCAGGAAGTCGATGGATGCAGGTGGCTCAGGACCGTGCTTTGTGGCATTCTTAGGGGGAGGCCTATGTTCAGCAGTGGACTTATGAAAGGCTGCAATGATGATAATGATGATGAAACATCCAGACACAGAAAAATTATTTACAGGCCATACAAATGTTCCGTGGAGAATTAGAACCTGGGGTACCCCAGCGCTGCAACTCATTGCTAAGTCACTGCACCACGGCCCATCTGCCCAGTTCATAGAATTATTCTAAAATAAGAGTGAGAAACAAAATCCTTGGTTAAGATCAGTTTATTTAAAATATAAATGCGTCTCGTGCGTAGCGTGATTTTACTTAGTGTTTAAAGCCGTGAGCCTATAGATGGATTTTATAAAGC